ATTTTAATACACGGGTCTCACACCTAGTATGTTATTAAATGACATATGGGGCGGATTTAACCGCCAGAAATGCCACATTTTTCTAGTAGTGAGAGAGCATTGCCTTTGAGCGAGTCGTAATTTTGCATAACATATAATTTGGAGAAAATTCAGTAAATGACCAAAATTGAAGGGTTCTTTGAAAAAAAATGACAACGTAAATGAGGAATTTGGAATATGACCAAAGGTTCCATAGAGGGGGTTCTGCGGAACCATAAACATCCATGCGAAACCATAAACACTTCTTTGGAACCATAAAATCGCACAAAAATTACCCTTTCCTCCTTACTCGAACGCGGAAGGAAGCTAGGGCAGTTGATTCGCGGAAGGAAGCTGCGGACGTCGGACTGTGATCAGAACGGACACAAAAATGTCGTGGCAAGCTCGATTCGTAAAGCAACTGCATTCCAATGTGTTATCCGATGGATATGGAACTCAAGTAATATTTCATTTTTTTCCCTAATCTTTGTATAAACTCGGAAGTAGAAATTGATTATATGAATTGGAAATTGATAGGTTAAATGATATATATGTAAGCATGTATGTTTGTTAGGGTGTAAGGACTGGAGTTTGTGAAATAAGATTTCGATTTATCCTATTCTTTTCTTCATGAACAGATCTGTAGAGGTCCTCTGCTCAAGAATAAATCCGCAGAAGAGCCCTCTACGGAATGATATATGCCTCTGCGGAAATGTATTTTTTTTGTTTTTTTTTTTCGATTTTCTATAATTATTATCTCTTAAAATGCACCATTGAATATTGAGATCATTTTATGTTGATTATATGTAAATTAATATTAAAATCAGTTTCCAATTATTTCTATAATTAAAAAAAACATTGAAATTTCTATAATTGTTATTAAAATGGACAATTCATATAAATTTTATAATATATATGGAACCATTTCTATAAAATTCTGTAAATTTGTTATTAAAAAGGGCAATTTATTTTGAAAGATAATTATTCACGTAGACCATTGTATAAAAAATTATAGAATAAAAACATTATTTTTGTTGCATAAAATTGTTAAAAAAAAAAAAAAAACAATATATAAGTACAATGCTATAAAAATAAAAGTACAAAACTAGTTGAATTAACTTCTACTTTATTCCATAGAACATAAAATACATGGAAAACGTACATTAGTAGCAAACATATTACATAAAATATTTCAGATAAAAAACCCTTCTACATGAAATACTGGTGGTTCTTAACCATATTCCAAGCGTCCACATACTTGGAGTCTTTTCCATCATGCTCGAAAATGTAATGATCTAAAATCATTTCTACAAGAGCTTCCTCGTTTGCGTAATAATAATTACTACTATTTTTAAGATGATGATACCATCGATTGAACCATGTGATTTCGTTCTTTAACTCCATCCACTTACTAAGAATATCTACTTGTACCTGATATTCTTCTTGTCCAAATGCGAGGTTGAACATACTTATTACACTGGTCCGTTCATCACCTCCAAGGTAATCAGGGGTAACCATTGTTGTTACACCTTCAAAAATGTTCAACCAACATCGTATTATAACCATCACCTCTCTCGTCGTCCATGGAAGTGGAGTATCGGACGACGATGTTGCATGCGTAGAAGTTGGTGCATTGGAGATCATTTCTATATTTTTCAATAGTTGATACAATATTTAACCGGTATAACAATTTATACACTAACCCGTCGAGGTACACACTGATCCGCAGATGTGTACATTGATCCGCTGATAACAGTTCTGTGGATTCCTAAACAGTTCTGTGGACTAATATTAAACATAAGTTCATAATGTATAAACTTTTTCTATCAAATTTTTTACATAATAATCACATAGTACCTTATGTGTTTAAAAAAATTAATATTAATAAACTAAAACAAAAACAAAAAAACGAAAAAAAATAAATAATTAAAAATCCCAAGATCCGCAAAAGTGTTCCGTTTCCTCAGAGGGCTTACTCGATCCACAGAGAATGCTCTACGGATCCAATGGTCAGATTCCGATATTAGTTTTTTCATGATTATTATTTTCAAATGACACATCTCTTTTGTTCATTTACCGAATTTGCCTTAAAAGAGAGAATATATTCTTTATAGATGTTTGTTATAACAACAATCTATATTCGTTATAGATTGATAAGTTTATGTGACAGTAAAGTAAATACAAGGTAGTATTAATAAGTTTTTTTTTTTTTATAACAACAATCTATATTCGTTATAGATTGATAAGTTTATGTTACAGTAAAGTAAATACAAGGTAATATTAATAAGTTTAAAGTGATTACCTTAAGATAAAGATAAAGATAACATGTTTTTTTTTTTTTTTTTAAAAAAAAATTATACTACTAATAAACAAGACTTTATAACATGTGATATAAAGATAAACCACTCATTAGACCATCTCCAACTCATTTTTATTTTTTCCCCCAAAAATAGAGTTAAAAGTGGGTTAAATAGTGTTTCATCTTCAACTCTACTTTATTTTTTTATTCTATCTTTACCTCATAAAGTATATTCTTATTATATTCCATTCTTCTAACTTACATAAATTGTCAAACACGCATCTTCTACTAATTTGGTTTTAACAAATATATAATCTTTATTTTTTTTCATTACAATAATGATAAATAAATAAAATTATATTTATAACACTTATAGACTTTTATAAAATACGTTATCGTTTTTTCAAATTTCAATATGTATTTAACTTGAATTTGATGAAAAAAAAAAACAAACTTTATATTTATAATTAATTAAGTTAATTTAATATATAGTAAAATATAATAAGCATTAAATATTACATTTAAATTATAATCTGTATGTAAAAATAAACTACAAATATATAAATATATAAATAGATGGACTAAAACCGACAATGCAAAATTCATCCGTATTTTGGGAGAAATAAATAATATAACACCATATTTGATGTAATACTATTCATATCTCCTAAATGAAGAAATAAATGGAATAAAGTTGGAGAAAAATAAGAAAAAAAAAATGAAAAATAAAGGTGAGCAGGAAATACTCTAATACTAAGCTACACAAACATTAATAGGATATGTCATAGGGGTGTGTATGGGGCGGTTTGGTTCGGTTATTGGTCAAAACCGAACCATAACCATTATGACTGGTTAATGTATTTTGGTAGCCATTGGGTATGGTTAATATTGGTTATGGTTAATGGTTTTTATCGGTTAACGGTTTTGGTTATGTTAATAATGATTAACTATAATGTTCAAAATAATATAAATGGCGAAATTATAGTGGCATAAAAATGAAAAGAGAATATAAAAAGTCCTCTGCACCAATGTTTGTAACCTAGCTTATAGTAATAGAATAAAATGTGTACATTTTGTACTCAGAGTGAGATAACACATAGTCACATTCAATAAAAGTATAACAAATTAAAAAAACTTGACATTAATAACTTTGTATATTGATAATTGATATTAACATTAAAATAAAGCCAAACATTCATACATTTTCAATGCGATTAAATTAAAAAGTATAAAATAAAATAGTTAAACATTTATATTACGCGTTATCTGTATAAAGAAAACAATCATTCATATACATTAAATGTGATTAAGTAAAAACAGTAAATAAAAAACAATTTTTTTAGAAAAAATACATTCTTAATATATCATAAAGTGAAGAACTAAAAACTTAACTTACCTAGAAGTTTTGATTATAAATTAAAAAAAAAAAAAAAATCCTTCGAATAGAACTATAAAGTTAAAACAATCTTTGATTAGGATTAACGGTGTGAGAAGCATCCGATTAGGATTATGAGTGTGAAGATTAAATTAATTGTGAATAATATTTACAAATTATAGAATTAGCTGATTACGAATTACAACATTAATCAATAATATAACTCAATGCGTGATTGGAAAATTGTGTGTGTCTGCATAATCTACGTGGTCATCCTTTTATGGTTTGATTGCATGTTCATCTCTTGATAAATAAGATTACTGAATTATATTTTGAAAATTTAATGGGTCTTAAATAAGTTTGATTATATTATTTTATATATAATCCATAATTTTTATGCATTAAAATATAAAGTTAGCGGTTCGGTTAATAATGGTTCGGTTAACCTATAAAACCATAACCGAACCATTTGTTATCGGTTAACAAAAATTAGAAACCGAACCAACGGTTTTTATAACGGTTTGGTTATTATGGTTCGGTTATATCGGTTAATTTGGTTATGGTTCGGTTTTTCGGTTATTATGCTTACCCCTAAGATATGACAAGTGCAATAAAAGGAAACAATATACTAACACCAACAAAAATTCATGACAAAAACATATGTAAAAGAAACTGCTAATTATCTGCCAATTTTGGTTTCATTTTTTTCTCGGGTTTAACCGTGGTTATACCTAACTCCTTTTTTTTTTTATTTTATTTTATTTTTTTTTTATTTTTATTTTTATTTTATTTTATATCGTCACAGCTTTAGCCGTGGTTATTTCCAAAACAAATGTTTATCTTTCATTGCTCATTTTGGTTTACTTCGGCTTATTCGTGGCTGCAGCCTTTTCTTCTTACTTTTGTGTTATTTCCACTAATTAATTTTAGTAAAATCAGTTTGTCTTGCCTAATCCAGGGAAGCAAAAATAGAGGTTTCAGCTTAAACGAGAACACAATATCAAGTTAACACAACCACCGAGTAATATTATCATAGAGTAAGTTTACAACAATCTTGGCACATCCACATAAAACCATTTAGTGGCAAGGGATACAATCCAAGATACACACAAACAAGCTTTTACACAAAAATAAGAAACTATATATATATATATATATATATATATATATATATATATATATATATATATATATAATATATATATAATATATATATATATATATATATATATATATATATATATATATATATATATATATATAGAGAGAGAGAGAGAGAGAGAGAGAGAGAGTAGCAAGCTTGATCTGTCAAAAAAAGAAACCCTTACGAGCAGGCTTCCTTTTAGGATACTCCAGAGACACAGTCCCACCGTACATTTTGGCAGCCTCGTAGCAGTTTATGACTCTCTCAGTCCTCTTAGCAGGTAAGGGAGCATCATACACTTGTTGCTGAACTACGTAAGCCTGCTGGGGTTGATACTGATGGTGAAACAACTGATGTTGGATTCTACTTGGTGGAGCAGTCGCTGCTGCTGATGGAGGCTTGGAGTAATTACGCCCATCTGGGAAAATGTCATCTATGATAGCAAACGTTTCTTCCCCAATCTTAGCGAGGTCTGTTTTGTTCTTTGAATTGGATGCCATGCAGAGGAGAAGCTATGTACGTAAGAGAGTATTGATCAGAAAGGAAGTATTAGCTGGTTTTGTTGTTGTGTTTGCTTTGGGGTGCACGACAGTCGACAAGAGCCACATATCTTTATATAGAATAGTTGATGCAGGTTTTGCGACAGGTTGAGATATTTTATTAATTATTTTTTTAATTTCTTACCTAAATTTATTCGTTTCTTTGTGTGTGGAATAATCTTTAATTTATTCCTTTTGGATCACAACAGTTGAAAAAGTGGTTCAACACCTTTTAAATTTATTACTATCACATACCCGGAATATAGTTTGCCCAAGCACCCCAAAAAGCGAACATGAAAGAGAGATGAAGAGAAAAGGTTTCAGCCCATCACTTTACTCAAGGTTGTTAAGATCGGGATCCTAAATAGGATTGTTTTTGGGTTTGCGAGATCGGAATCGTAATTATATACAGAATCGGGATCCTAAGATCCCACAAATAAAATATAATTTTAATTTATATTTGTAATCATTAAAAATATTTCAAACATTCAATTTTTCGTTCAAAAGTTATAAAAACTTCAAAATATTAGTCATTAACCACAATACAAAATGATAAATAATAAATTGGTAAATAGTAAAAGACATAAAGTGGTAAAAAAATCATTTGCAAAAAAAAAAAACAAAAAAAATCAAGGAAAAGTAGGATCGGATTGGATCTCGATCCTACGATCCTCACTACGATCTTACAAACCTACCTGCGATCCTACCCAAAATACGATCCGAATCGTTTTTCATACCTAGGATCGTATTTTGGGTAGGATCGCATGATCGTACGATCCTACGATCAAGATCACGATTTTAACAACCATGACTCTACCTACTCTAACTCGGTGCCCTAGCTATTACGGTCGTGGTGTGCCTCATCTCCATCTCAACCACCGAACCCGTTGTTCGGGGTACCTATATTGAATATCGCCTTATGTGTTGCAAGTCCCTATGTGAAAGGAGTAACAACTATGTTAAACGACCGTATCCCTACATGTGTCAACTTGTTTGAGTTGTTACATGTACACATACACTATATCGATCGACCTTGGATGTATGTATAGTCTCGATCCCTCTCTTTTGAACTGTACGATGTACAAAGCGTACCCATACACCAAGAAAACACTAGTACGAATATGGCTTTTAGTGAGGCAAAAAAAAGGGTAACCATGCATTTTATCGTAGTTTTTTTTCCTTTCAAAACGTGACTAAAGGTCATGTCATTTTTAATAAGTTATTAACGTTTAATTATGGTAATTATAATCCATTTAAATCCACTTTTATAGGTAAAACGAGTATGGTAGCAATTTTTGTAGTTTTTCCAATCAGATTTTTAATAAACTACTTTTCGTCACATGTTATTTTGTTTATCATGACTATTGATGACTTTTAGCGAAATATTTTTTGTTTGTCATGACTATTATTGATTTCTAATCACAGATTTTTCTAGTGATCGCGATTATTTTTGACTTTTAGTTATATATATATATATATATATATATATATATATATATATATATATATATATATATATTTGTTTGTCATTACTATTATTGATTTTTAATGATATAAATTTGTCTTTTATGAGGACAACTTGTTACTTTCGGTTAGACAAAATAAATTAAATTATAACCATAAAATACTTTTAACCATAAGTTGATTCATTTCCATGACTATTGATTGCTTTTAGTCACAAATAATAAATCAAATCATGTTCATAAGCTTTTTTTTTTTTTTTTTTTTATAGAAAAAATACAATAAATAAAAACCAAATACAATTTTATTACATCCCAAAATTCACCATCAATTTTTTTAAAATCAAAGTGTATGTTTTTAACAAAAGGTTTTACTTATAATGATTAATAAATCATAAAGTTGTCATTCATATCTCATCAACATAATCATAGTATAAATATGGAAGTTAAGTATTGTTTTCAAAAACCATATCATATCATAGAATGGATAAACTCGATGTCATGCCCTTCCGAGAATGTCCAGATATCTCAAACATTCCAGTTCCCTGCCCTTTGAATATGAAGGATCTGCAATTAAAAACATAACGTAGCAACTGTAAGCCTACGACTTAGTGAGTAAAGCCCAAATGACGGTCATCTTCGTCGGAACCAGAGGCTGACGTTTCCCTAAAACTCGCTCTATATACACTACTAGAAAAGGAGGGGTTTTGCCACAGGAAAATAGCAACGGAAAATTTTCGTAGGTAATTAGCTACATAATACCAACGGAATTCCTACGGTATAGGATGCCCTAGATTAGTAACGGAATTACTACGGAATAGCTACGGAATAACAACAGACCACATCCGTAGCTATTCTGTTGGTAATTAGCTACAGAATAGCTACAGAATTGCGACAAAAGTAAGCACGTAGGTATTCCGTAGGTAAATAGCTACAGGATAGCTACAGACTACCCACAGAAGAAAATACCTACAGAATAACTCCAAAATACCAACGACTTTTATTATTACTATTATTATTATTCAAGTTAAAATTCTTTTTTGGATCGTTTTGTTTTAAATATTTAAAACACAAATGATTAAAAACAAACAATTAAAAATCATACTAATGGTACTATTAATATTAATATTTATAAACATAATGATAATATATGATAATCATAACGAATGTTTTTAACATATAAACAAACGAACAAACAAAAAAAAACAACGTTTAACACATTAATAAGGTGAAATAATATATACATTTAATGTATGAATAATGAAAAATGATGATAATTAGCTAGGGGATATATGTATATTAATTTGTATAAGTAAGTGTATGTATGTATTTATTAATGTAAGTATGTATTTAGTATATGTACGTATGTTTATGTATATGTATGTACGAGTATGTGTGTATATGTGTGCTTATGTATACATATCTGTGTGTATATATGTATGTGTATGTGTATATATATTTATGTGTATGTGTATTTGAGTATGTATATGTATGTGTCATGTGTGTATGTGTATCTATGCATATACACGGTTTTATGTACATTTATATAATGTATAACTTTATGAAAACAAAGCAATCAAAGTATAATAATGTTGTGAAAAAAAATAGAACGAAAAAAATGACATTTGACCCTTGAAAACTAGAAAATAAAAAAAATCGTAGGTAATCCGTAGGTAAATATCTACGGATAAAGGTTATCCGTAGTTAATCCGTAGGTATTTACCTACGGATTACCTACAATTTTTTTGTATTTTCTAATTTTTAAGGGTAAATATTGTTTTTTCAGTTTCAGTTTTTTCAAAACATAACTATACTATGAATGCTTTGCTTTCACCAAATTATATAGAAACTAAACTTACATACAAAGGTATGCATCCTTAGAACCCATTACTTATTTACAACTTTATTATTCTATTTTTATATAATATAAATGAAAGTTATTTTCTATACACAAATAAAATAAGTATACACATTTACATACAAACCATATACATATATTATGTTCGGTATATCACGTATTTGTTTAATGAGGTCTAATTGTTAAGGGCAAAAATTGTTTTTTCAGTTTCATTTTTTTCACAACATCATTATACTTTGAATGCTTTGTTTTCGCCAACTTATACTTAAACTAAACTTACACACAAAGTATGCATGTTAGAACCCATTACTTATTTACAACTTTATTATTCTTTTTTTATATATATAATATAAATGAAAGTTATTTTCTACACAAAAATACAAATAAGTATACACATTTACATACAAACCATGTATGTATTATGTTCAGTATATCACGTATTTGATTAATGAGGTCAAATTATGTCTAAAAAACAAACATAAATAGCTTTTTGTATCAAATATAGTAATGAGTTCTAATGATGCACATTTTTGTACATACGTTTATATAATGTATTACTTTGTGAAAACTAAGCAATGAAAGTATAATGATGTTGTGAAAAAAATGGAACGAAGAAAATGACATTTGACCACTGAAAAATAGAAAAAAAATCGTAAGTAATCTATAGGTAAATACCTACGAATTACCAACGGATAACCATTATCCATAGATAATCCGTAGGTATTTACCTACGGTTTTTTTGTATTTTCTAATTTTTAAGGGTAAATATTGTTTTTTCAGTTTCATTTTTTCACAACATCACTATACTTTGAATGCTTTGTTTTCACCAAATTATATATAAACTAAACTTACATACAAATGTATGCATCGTTAGAACCCATTATTTATTTACAACTTTATTATTCTCTTTTTATATAATATAAATGAAATAAATAATTTTAGTGGCATTTTATGTAGAATGATGCGTAATTTGCACCTGGTGAAGACGAAAACCTCACTCCCTCCATCGAAATATTCAATTCCCTCTTTTCTTTTCCCTCCAGTGAAAAACCTAGCTTCCCTTCCCGTTAAAAATTGAAATCCAGCGCCTTTTCTATTCCCTCCGTTGAAAATTCATTCTCCCTCCTTATAGTTGAAATCAGATTTTAATTGAATAATTTCCCTCATCTTCAATCGATTTCAAGCAAACCTAATTTCACCCTAACTAGTCGAAATTCAGGTACGTGTATCACCTTTAATCGGGTTTATCGCCACCTAATAACCTTCGAATGATCTCAGTTCGCCGAATATTAACCTTCAACTGATTTTAGTCTGTGTGTACAGGTTCAATTGACGATATCCATTTTGCTTTTTCATCTTTTACAGGAAAGAAACCATCGATCTTCTTGCTGCGTGTTTCTCTTCTTGCTACGTTTTTTCTTCTTTCTCGCTATGTTTTTTCTCTCCTGTGATTTTCTCCATCAAGAGTTATCTTCATCATCAGCAGGTATGTAGTACTCCTATTTTTATCCCCTAATGCTCAACTTGAAATTACTAATTTTGAACACTGATGCACTTCAATTTTTCTTCATTATTGATCTTGTTGCAATACTTGTTGTGAATTTATATACATGTTTAAGAAAAGAAAGGTACTAAAAGTAATT